ATTTTCTCTTGGCCATATTTAAGGGATACTTTTTTTCCGACATGAATACGATTAATAGTTTTTGAGTTATGTCCGAGTGCCATTCTTAATGAATCACCCTGTACAATTTTCAGCAAATTGTAAATTTATCGCTGATGCATATCGTAGGTCAACACAATGCGACGACGTGCGAAACAAACATTTCCACACTAGTGCGGAAAAATTAACCTTTCCGCAGGCCAATGCGTGCGGAAATAGTTATTTTCCTAACAAGTGCGCAAAGTGTTACTTTTCCGCACGCAAACACAGTTATACGAACGACGCGAAGCGGAGTTCGGATACGTGTTTGCGTGCGGAAAAGACACTTTGCGCACGTGTTAGGAACAAAATTTTTCCTACGAGCTTCATATCAGGTAGGTAACAACAAAAATTTAAAAAAAAAACGATAATTTGTTTAATTATTTTTAATTAACTTGAAGGGAACCTATGCATTTATCAAAAAATTACATAACAAAAAAAAAATATAACAGAAAATCATCGTCAGAGCTCTTCATCTTAAAGCGTTTAATGGCGATTTCCATTTGTCATCAGTGCCGCACTGAGTGCATCCGCATCTTTTTCTAAAAGCATGTAACATGTAAGGATAAGGATACATTTTTTTGCCCTGTTTCGACAAATGGAAAATGCTATAAATTTGATGAGAAAGTTTGTAGATGCATATATATAGAAAACAAATCTGACAATGTGTTGAAGTTAATTAAATTTGGTGTTTGTAGGTATAGATGTTAGCTGGAACAGGAACAGAGGAAAAATTTGTCATCATGTGTCAAAGTCGACAGGTGTACTTATTGTTGCTTGACAATTATTTTTACTTTTCGGCACTCAGTGCGGATAAGGCCTGTATCCGCACTGAGTGCGGAAAAGTGCAACTTTGAGAACCGAAATGCGTGCGGAAAAGTACTACTTTGCGCACGCTCGTAGGAAAAAAAACTTTCCGCACGAGTTAGGAACACTATTTTTTCTACGAGATAGAAGGAACGTACCTACGTAATGAAATTTTAACACCAATATTTGACAACATTTCTTTTGCAACATAATATGGTATCGAGTAATTTTTTCTTAATATAGGTTAAGTACTCTTAGCTTAGGTACAAATAAAACTTATTTTTTTAATAATAAAAAAAAAATATTCTGAAATAATGTGCCTTATTCTGAAGAAAATGAAATCGAGAACTTTTAACAATAATTTATACGTTTGATGTATCTACTATGAAATTTTCGAAATTTTTAAGCATAAAGTAACTTGACAAGAAAAGTTAAGTTTAAACCGGAATAATTTAATAAATAATATTATTGTTTCAATAATTCTCAATGCTGATATTTGTGTAAATGTAAGCTTATAATTTAAAAAGTGACGTCTGTCACTTTTCCGCACTAGTGCGGAAATAGTACATTAAAATACAAGTTTCATAAGACGTCATTTTATCGCACGAGCCCTATATTAGAAAACGAGCCGGAGGCGAGTTTTCTAAAGGGCGAGTGCGATAAAATGTCTTATGAAACGAATATTTTATACTATTTTTTCTATTTTGGTATTGTTTAATAAAAAAAAAAACTTTTCTTGGAAATTTTATTCTCATATTTCCTGACTTCATATGTTTAGGTTGGCAACACTACATGCCAAATATAGAAATCTTCTATTATTTTTTATTGCGAATGACAGTTACATGGCCATCAGTTAGCCAGTGTCACCAACCTCCGATAAGTAAAAAAGGAGTGTCACAAAGAGCTTCTTTTCGAAACTACTTTCAGTGTCGAAAAGACTTCGATATGACACCAAAATAGAAAATAGTATATTATGCAATGATCATATTAATACACGAGCATGTTGTAGGATACGAAACGAGCCGCAGGCGAGTTTCGTATATAACATGCGAGTGTATTATTGGCCATTACATGGGAGTTGCATACACTATTTTTTCTACTGCCATTGATAAAACTTATATTTAGATAGGTCAACATTATGCTTAACTTTGAATAGAGATTTTATAATTGAGTAATCCATGCAGTTGAAGGTTTCATTTTTTGTTGTAATTGTCCAAAATATACTATCAAAACATTTTCTGAGAAAGACGATGTGTTTTTGGTGTTTCCAATCCATAAATTGTCTAAATAATTTTTCGAACATTTTCTTGGACTTGTCCGGTAGTATAGTATTACCTGCATTTGTCGCCCTTTCTGTAATTTCTGGAGGTGTTAGTGAAAATTCTTCGTTATCACTCAATATTTCGATATTAATGCCTTATCCGAAACATTAGGTAACTTTTAATAACAATTCGAAGTATTTTTTTAATAAAATTATTGTTTTTCGCTAAATTATGGAAAAGCTATAAACAGAGTGCTGCCAACATTCAAAAAAAAAAAAAAAACAAATTTTTTTAACTGGTGGCGCCATCTATTGACAATGTATAAAAATGGAAAAAGTAAAAATTCTTCCTTATCATTCATGATTTCCATAATAATTATTCTTTGTTCCAAAACTTTAGGTAACTTTCAAACAATTCGGAGTCTTTTTTATAGTTATCAAAATAATTGTTTTAAGCAAAATTACTGTTTCAAATGTTTAATATCTTAGCTAGTGCTGCCATCTATCAACATTGTATAATAATAAAAATGAGTATTTTAATGAAAATCGGTATCGTAATGAAGTTCATTATGATACAGATTTTAATCGTTTAATAGCGTATTAGGAAATGTCAGTAGAAAAAAGCTTTTTTCCGCACTAGTGCGGAAAAGTGAAACTTTCCAAACTAAAATGCGTGCCGAAAAATTCACTTTTCCGCACGCTCGTAGAAAATAGCTATTTACCTAACAAGTGCGGAAAATGAATTTTTCCGCAAGTGTTGGGTACAATATTTTTCCTACAGGCGAAAAAATGTAAAATTTTTCTTTTTTTTTGACAAAAAAATTTTTGGTAAAATTTTTTCCGCACTGACAGCTGTGCGGAGAAACTTTTTCCGCACTGATATGTCAAAAAAAAAAAGTTTTCACGCACCGTGCGGGAAAACTCATTTTCCGCACGCATATCAGTGCGGAAAATCGATTTTTCCGCACGGCTGTAGGAAAAAAGTTTTTGATACCTACATTTTGTTTTTTTTACATAGTTTGAATATAACTATAACTAATTCCTCAAAAAAATTAAAAGAATAATCTTTTCTGAGTTGACATTATATTGTAATACAAAAAACATGTTCTGTTGTATTTTTTGACCTAAAATTATTCGAAAACGACCTTAATTTTGATAAAATCGATCCACAATTAAAAGGCCCAGTATGAGTATCAAAAAAATGAGCAACTAACGAAAAAAAAAAAACTCTAGGGGTAGTATACTATGTATGAGAATCAGTGAAAAAACTGCTCGACATTATTCTATAGGCTAAATGGTGATAGTATAGTGGGATACTAAATTATTTTCCATCATAGTATCTATAGAATTAGTCAGAGAAAAACAAACTAATTTGAATTTAGCGCCACAGCGGCGACCAATAGTATTCGAGCCGCTGACCATCTGGCAACGCTGCTCAAAATACCCCTAAACGACAGCTGACTGCATGTTCAACGACGTGTGGTATCGTGTGACATGTGACATTGTCACAGTAACTTGTTTACGTTGTTTGATGTAGTAAATTTGACGTTTCGTTCTTGACGGTCAATGTCAGTGCAAATAGTGCGTTCTCAAAACCGTGACGTGTTGCCAGATTGGAAAAACTAACTACGTCACGAACTTTTATTTTCACGTAGGGGTGGAGCTAAAAGGAGATTTTAAAAACCAAATTCCAGTGTATTGCTGTTTTTACAAAGCAACTGATTACACTAAATAGTACGATACGTCGAGTATACCACTACGCAGTAGTTAAAAATCACTTTTATACTACCCCATTTTGCTGAAATCGATTATCAATTTTAACCTCTTGATAACTGCCATTTTGAAAATGATCGCCATCTTGCTCCTATGGGTCCGACAAGGGGGTCATGCGGGTCAAATCGCCTATAATTATAAAAAAATCATCTGTACGAAATTTCATGCTTTTATCACAATTTGCAAGATTCTGCCCATTTTTTTGATTAACCGCCCCGCCTATTGGGACTTCGAGGGCCAACATAGGGGTTTGTACTACTACATTTAATCAACCTAGCTTCTCACTTATGACTTATGTACGATTATATTTAATCAACGTAGCTCTGAGAAGCGTGAGACCCCACTAAAACAAGATTTTGACAAGCTGTTATTTCTGAACGGATGAAAATGATAAGACGAAATTCTAGGTCCATGAAGAACTCGATAAGACCTTTAAAAAGAGGTTGAAGCTACGGGGATGAAAAAAGCTGAAAAATATTTCCCCCTCAAATCAAAAAGTGACGTGTCCGAGTGTTTTTCCAGATTTTCATTCTAAATGTAATAAATCGAAATGGACTGTTTTCCCTGGGACACCCTGGTGTAAATACATGAACATAAACCATACTGCAAAAGGTTGAAAAAATAGTTAAATAACTTTTTTTGTACAGGTAAGAAAATCTATATCACTATCCCTAGCAACATCATTCACTCTTCTCAAGCATCTATTTATTGGTGATAGCACCTATTTATTGGGGTGGATTTAAACATTAGAGTCACCACTTTGAAAATAAAAATAAAAACCGGAAAGTTCGACTATATTTTACTTTTTCTATCGTTTCATTGGACGAATGCGTTGCCGAGCGAGTATAGGAGCGACGCATCGGCTATCTGTCTCTCGCACTGCTAACTGTTCTTCAGTTCCTCTCTCTTGCTTGGCTGAACTCGACTCAGGCCGACTGTATCCGGGCGAATGAACGTTAACAATTCGTGCGTGACGGCTCAATCTCATTCACTACCCATAAAAGTGCTTGTGCAAAAAAGTTTTCCCTTAAATAATCATCAAATTCGGAGAGAATAACAGAAAAGATAATTACCAATTATTAAGACTCTGATTTGATTATAGGTGTAGATAGTCAACAAAGCCATCAAAATGGGAATGAAATTCTTGGAGGTTATCAAGCCCTTTTGCAGCATCTTACCTGAAATAGCCAAGCCCGAACGAAAAATTCAATTTAGGGAAAAAGTTTTATGGACAGCAATTACACTTTTAATATTTTTAGTATGTTGTCAGATACCACTCTTCGGTATAATGAGTTCAGACTCGGCGGATCCTTTTTACTGGATCCGTGTAATTCTGGCATCAAATAGAGGTACACTTATGGAGCTGGGTATTTCACCTATAGTAACTTCTGGAATGGTCATGCAGCTGTTGGCTGGTGCGAAGATTATAGAAGTAGGTGACACTCCTAAGGATCGGGCATTATTTAATGGTGCACAAAAATTATTTGGCATGATAATCACTGTTGGCCAAGCTATTGTCTATGGAATGACTGGAATGTACGGAGATCCTGCAGAACTAGGAACAGGAGTTTGCCTCTTGATCATAATCCAATTATTCGTTGCTGGACTTATAGTTTTGCTTTTGGATGAACTTTTACAAAAAGGTTATGGATTAGGATCTGGTATTTCTCTCTTCATTGCCACCAACATCTGCGAAACTATTATCTGGAAGGCGTTCTCACCAGCCACCATCAACACTGGACGCGGTACTGAATTTGAAGGAGCTGTAATTGCCTTGTTCCACTTGCTTTCCACAAGACAAGATAAAATCAGGGCTTTACATGAAGCTTTCTATCGCCAAAACCTGCCTAACTTCATGAACTTATTAGCCACCATTTTAGTGTTTGCTATAGTGATATACTTTCAAGGATTCAGAGTGGACCTACCAATTAAAAGTACTAGACACCGTGGACAATATTCCACTTATCCGATCAAACTTTTCTACACATCAAACATACCAATTATTTTACAATCTGCTTTAGTTTCCAACTTGTATGTACTATCCCAAATGCTGGCAGTAAAATTTCAAGGAAACCTTCTGATTAATTTATTGGGCGTTTGGGCAAATGTAGGCGATCTTGGCTCAGCAAGATCGTACCCTATCGGAGGTTTATGTTACTATTTATCTCCACCAGAAACTCTAAGTCACATTCTGGTAGATCCAGTTCACGCTTTTCTTTATATTCTTTTCATGTTAGGATCGTGCGCCTTTTTCTCCAAAACGTGGATCGAAATATCAGGAAGCTCAGCTAAAGATGTCGCCAAGCAGCTTAAAGAACAAGAAATGGTTATGAGAGGACACAGAGACAACTCCATGGTCCACGAATTAAATCGGTATATTCCTACGGCTGCTGCTTTTGGAGGCCTCAGTGTTGGAGCCTTATCAGTACTAGCAGATTTTATGGGAGCAATTGGTTCTGGTACTGGTATTTTATTAGCTGTAACGATTATTTACCAATACTTTGAAATATTTCTTAAGGAACAAGGTGGAATGGGCACTCGATTATTCTAATTTTATTATTATTTATTACGTGACTAAAATAATTGTATGACTTTGTGAATTGCTAGAGAAATTTTTTATGTCCAATATGTAATTTTTTGAAGCGTAATATAGGTTCTATTTGTACAATGTACCTTTTTAATAATAATTTTATTTTATAATAAATTGTCACGGATTCCGGGTTCACTAATACAATTTCCAAGAATGCGGCCAAGCTCTCGAGGTACCTAATTTTTTAACAATTATTTATTCTTATTGTTATTTTATTAGAATAATTTGAAAACTAATTTTTACATTAAATAATAAGTTATGTTAGAAGACACTTTGTTAATAAAAAAAATTAGAAAAGCGTAGGGGGCCGCATCCTATACTTTTTTTTTGGCATTCGCCATTTTTTTAAGAAAAAAAAGTGTAAATTTTTGCCTTTTTGTGAAAAGAGTGTTATTTCACAAATTTTTACGAAATTTCGTAAAAAAAGTGTAAATTTTTGCTTTTCTGTAAAAAAAGTGTGAATTCACAAACTACGAAATTCAAACTTTTTTTACAAAATTTCGTGAAAAAAATGTGACTTTCGTAAAAAGATTGTGAAATGCAAATGGCCGTTGGTTCCATTAAAGCACAGATCATGAAAAAACAGAACAGTGATAATACAAATAAAGCCATTTGCCGTAAATACACCAGTTTATCGCCGTAATTTTTATGTTCTTCCACATGTTCCACAACTGCGAACTGCTGCCACTTAATTACTGAGGTTCTGTGGTTCATATTATACTCTTTCCGTCGTATTGCTGGGCGACCAGTTTCTGCATTGGATAGCAACAACCGTTGTCGTGGCCCATACTTACTTGTATCAATTTTTTCACGAAATTTTGCAAAAAAGTATGAATTTCGTGAAAAGTTTGTGCATTTATTCCTTTTTTACGAAATTTCGTGAAGAGTTTGTGAATTCACACTGTTTTTACATTGTTGTTCCCATGGTAGTTATTGACCACAAAGGTGAGATCTATAACATACTAAAATTTGGTTAAAGAAGGAGGCACAATGAGGAAGTTGCATAAAATTTTATTTTGATGCAAAATGTGTTTAAAGTGAAGCAAAATACTATGGAAGTATATTTCCATATTCAAATCCTCTTTATACTGAACCACTAAAAAATAATTAATTATTCAAATATTGAATATAAGGGCGCGAAAACGCTCTGAAATTGGTTATGACGTCATGGAACGGTAAACAAACAAAAGTGTGGTTATGATAACGTGATACGTGATATGGATACGTGAGCCGTCAGACGCTTGTGCTTACATCGAATTCTACCGATGAATTCAGCATTCTATGTCGGTCATTGTCATTTTCCATTAACTAAACAAAGATACCCCTCGTTTTTATTCTAATCGGCGACTTCACCGATGCTATTGCTATAATTATTATTTAATCATATATATTTGTTACTATCCTTACTACACTATATCTTTCTCTCTCTTAATGTATAGGGTGTGAGTTCACTGAAAGAGAATTGATTTCCAAAATCAACGTAACACTATCTTTGTTTAGTGAATGGTAAATGACAATGATCAACATAGTCGCATAAACCAATGACAAAACACAATGGGTAAGAGAGAGAGGGAGTACAGAGACTCGCTTTGACCGATACCGTCTTGTGACGTCATTCATTTATGAGTGCGTTTTGGCGCGAAGAGAATTATTTTGATTTTCGATATTTTTTTAAAGAAAAACTATTAATTGAAAATTTAAAATTTATGTAGCAAGTGACTTTTTACAATGTGAAAAATTTAATAAGAGAATAAAAAAAACATCTGCAAATTCCTCATTATCATTGAAAATAGGCCCCCGTAAGTTTCAACCAAATTTCAATATTTTAAAGGTATCATCAATGCAAAAAAAAAAATTGAAATGTAAAGAGTAAAGAGGATCGTATGATAGCAGATATAGCTCGTCAAAGTACGTAGGTCCTGCTATGCTATGCATAGGAAATATCCAGTAATAATATATGTAACTAGTGCATAAAATATTTCCGGAGATTTTTAAAAATTTTGTTTGAAGAAAATGTTTTAACAAAATCATGAGTGCATAGTGGCCATAGTGCATAGCGCCTGAATAAATCCCCAACCCGAAGGGTGAAGGATATTTTCTTTGGCGCTATGCAATTTTTTTTTTAAATTTCCCTTAGGAAATATTTTATGCATGAGTTATATTATGATTTCCCGAGTTTGAAGTCTATTTACTACGTTGTGTAGAATTTTTTTATTGATGGTGATCGTTATTTATCTTTCCCATTCAGTGGCGCACCCAGGTTTTTTATTTGGGGGGGGTTTTCGGTTTTCATAATGATGAAGACTCGCCACAGGCAGGCGCTGCCGTAGGCCGGCCGCCATAGGAATAATTTTTTTTGGGTGTCACGCCCAAAAACGTTTAAGCCTTCAAAAAATAAATTATTGTACCACATGCGGATAGATCAAGTCCATGCTAAAACACAGGACTATAAACTCGACAATTGCTGAAACCTCTATTAAAGTAACCGCGACAAAAGGATGCTCACAGGGCGGAGTACTTTCACCACTCTTGTGGAATCTAGTCGTGGATGAACTTTTGAGGAAACTAAACGATCAAGGCTACATCACTCTAGGTTACGCGGATGACATAGTCGTTTTCATAAGGGGAGGATTTACCAGGACGGTATCAAACCTCAAGCAGGACGTCTTAGAAATCATTGAGGAATAGTGCACGAGTGAGCAACTTCGCGTCAACCCCTCCAAAACAAAACTCATTCCTTTCACGAGAAAAAGAAATCTGGAGAACTTATTCGCTCCCAGTCTATTCAAAAAAACCTTGGACTTTAGGGAAGCTAAATTTTTAGGCGTCATCCTAAATATGAAGCTGACATGGAACCAACACATCCAAAAGATAACCACCAAAAGCAAGATGACGTTGGAGTCACTAAAAAGAGCGGTTGGGAAAACATGGGGACTAAAACCGTCAGTTTCACAATGGATATACACTACGGTTGTAAGACCAATGATAACATATGGTGCACTTGTATGGTGGCCTAAAGTAAACCAAAGACAAGCAAACCTGAAGCTAGCCAAAATCCAGAGACTTGCGTGTCTTTGTATTACCGGTGCCCAGAGAAGCACACCAACGGCAAGTATGTCAACCTCTGGGAGAACACACTACTGTATTCCAAGCAGAAATATATGCCATCGACTACTGTCTGAGAGAAAACCTGAGGAGGGGATACACAGGTAAAAACATCCTTATCTGCTTAGACGGTCAAGCGTCAATCAATGTACTCAACAGCTTTGAAATAAAATCCAAACTTGTCTGGGAATTCTTGGAAAACCTCAAAAACCTAAGTATGGCCAACAAGGTAACCCTTAAATGGGTACCAGGGCATAAAGGAATTGAAGGAAATGAAAAAGTAGATGCTCTAGCAAGAGAAGGATCGGAAACCAGTTATACTGGTCCTGAACCAGCAATTGGCACCACAAAATCATCGGTAAGAACAAAAATAAATCAATGGGTGTATAGACAACACAAAACCTACTAGCAAACTCTTCCGAAGCTCAGACACAGTAAGCTAATGGCATACAACAACCATCACCTAAACTTACTGAAGAAATCCTACAAACCAAACAGGAATAACATCAGGCTAATAACTGGAAACTGTAGCCTGAGAAAACACCTTCACACAATGGGCATCCTCCAAGAACCCATAAGCAGACTTTGTGAATTGTGACGAGGAAGATAAAACCGCCACCCACATAATCTTTGATTCTTTGAATGTGAGGCTTTACGCTGGTGGAGATATAGACAGATAGCGCCAGAAGACCCTATCTTTAAACTCACCAAAAGTAACACGGTGAGGAGGCTCCTAAACCTAAACTTTTCAATGACGAAACAGACGAACAGGACAATACAATAAATCGACTGCTGCAGTGTTGGGGCCACCTAACCTGGCCTGTTCATTCTGCATCTCAACCAACCAACCAACCAAGTGATTGTATAAGTTATGTATGTGTTTACTTCGCTGTTCACTCATCTTAATCAACTCGCTGTCGGAGGCAAAACCTTTTAGGGGTGGCATATATGTAAAATGGAAAGTTTGTAGGTACCTATTAACCAAAATCGCAAAAACAATATTTTTACCGGAAAATTTTTTGCACCAGTGCTAAATTTCGGGGGGGGTTTTAACCCCGAAAACCCCCTCCTTGGGTGCGCCACTGTTCCCATTTAAATTGCGTTTGTCAAAAATATTCACTTTGACAGATTTCTGACATCAATGCCACAGGTTTCAAATGGAAAAGCGGGCCTCAATGCCAAAAATGACAAGTATTCCACACTACAGTGGCTAAATAAACCTTTACATACAGTGGCGACAATAGAGGTTTCGCCGCCATCTTGTTCCCAACCTCTTGTTACTTTTAAATATTAATATATAGGATTTAAATGGACATCTATCATAAAAAATTGAAATCGACGTATTTGATGACCATTATTAGGTCCATCAAATATGTTGTTTTCCATGATTTATGATGAATGTTCACCTAAATCCCATATATTCATATTTAAAAGTAACAAGGGGTTGGGAACAAGATGGCGGTGTTTTCAATATAAATATATGGGATTTTAGAACCAATCAAAAATGAGACAGCAATTGTCGCCACTGTGGGTTATAGAGTCACTGTATTCCACACATCGTATAGTAAATAAACTTCAAACTCGGGAAATTTCCTATCAAAATATAACACCTGCAAGGAAAACCTAACCTCAAAAAAAAGAGAGTGACGTCACCACTATCAGCAGCTAATATTGGTGACGTCACCCGCAGACTAGATGGGATGGAATGCTTGCGATGGCTGTAGAGTCCGCGTCAGCAGTAAAGACTACGGTGACGACAGGGAAAGCTGCGCGAAGCGGGTCCTATCTCTCTCCCTCGTCTATCTCTCGCTGTCTGCCATGACCTCGGCCGTGAGCTGAAACCAGCAGCGGGGGGGGGGTATCTTTTTAGACAAAACTTAGATAGAAAATAAACTAAATAAATACGCCTGCTGGCCGTACGACAATGAACCACGTGCTTGACGTTCGGCAGCAGCATCGAACAATACGATAGTTCGGTTAGTCTTCAAAATTGGGTTTGTGCGCAATTGACGTCACCGTAATCTTTACTCTTGACGCGGACTCTAGATTCCTTTTTTTGACGGTACTTCTGACCGACTGTAATATATACAAGTACATGAATATGGAGCTAACTTCAGCCACATTTTTTTCGAAGTGTCCTAGTTGACTGGCCCCCAATTCTTGAATTATCTCGCATACGAAAATTGATATGAATTCGAATGTTTC